GGGCTCCACTAGGAGCAGCAAGAGGTGAATGTGGGAACAACACTGTGGGCAGCTGTTCTAACCACCTCCAGGGCTGGAGAGGTGAACAAAGAAAGTGGTAAGACATGTCTCTTAACAAACTGCGCTTCAACATGGCCTGAAGTGCCCTGGTTCACTGCCTGGTAGCAAGTCTTGACATCATTCAAGACCCATTTGGATAGGAAAAGCAGACCAGCCTTTGCTTCTCTTTGCGGACGTGAAGCAAGGCAGGGCTGTAGAGCGCCCAAGTGCCAGGGAGACCGAGGTGGGTCTGGCACATGGCAGGAAACCGTAGCCAAGGGAATGAAGGGCAGCCTCCCTACAATAAATACTTAACATCAAAGACGTGGCAGGCGAGACTCCGAGGGCGCTTAGAGAACGCTTGGTACGGTACGGAGGGCACCCAAGGGGAGAGCACGGCGACCCTAGGGTCCCATCCTGCTACAGGTAATATTAGCATTAATGCCCGTTAGAAATAAGCAGATCAAGGGTCTTTGAGTCCAGTGCTTTGTCTCCTACACAGTACTTGTAGCTCAGAAACATGCATCAGCTATTTCAACTAAACTGTTACATCTGTCTGCTCCTGTGTTTAAGGGAGCTAAACTACTGCAACTTTCAAACTGACATTGGTTTAGACTTACAGCAGTTAGCTCCACTTATCCCAGGATAGGAGCAGACAGAGATGCCCAAAAATGTTGGTACACATAATGCCAGCGTAACTGTAAAATCATTCACAACCTCAGTTATCCATTATATTCTAAGTCAATAACTATGTGAAGGCTGACGTTACATAATGGCACTGCATAGTAAATTGCAGCATCTTACCCTGGGGATGGTGTGCATATTAAATCCAGAAAATTCAAAAACACATATTGATATATGAAAATACAGTGGCGGACACTTCTCTCTGCACTATAAAAGCATAACTTGTCCGTCCCATTGTTTTGCCGTCTGGTTACATACCAGCAACCCCTGACCTCCAAACTTTAAGCAACAGGCAGTTCTTTTTTTTACCTGTGAAATTAACACCCGTGTCTGCTCGTCCTGGGGGGTCACTCTTGGGAGTAGTTGGTGGTGTTGCCATGACTGCTTGAGAGAGAGAAAAAGCAGCCATGAACATTGCAGCACATCACTCCCCAGGCTATATCCCGCACCTGCTAGGTCACCGATTTTCTTTTTTGTTTAAACATGGGAAAAGACCGTCAGGTAACCTACTCTACGGTACCCTTGGCTCTTTGGTATG